AGGGGGATTGGAAAAGGAAAGACAGTAGAATGAATCAGACATAACTTTCCTATGTTCATGTATGAATACATGACCAGTGAAACTCCACATAATGTACAACTGCAAGAATGGGATCCTAATTAGAATAGATTATATTCCACATATGAATAATATATCAACATACACTCTACTGTCATATATATATATAAAGAACAAATTAAAAAAAAGAACTCTGTTAGGGAGGGAAAAAGTGAAAATGTGAGAATATGGTAAATAAAGTAGCAATGCTTTCTTTTCTTTTTGGGTTATAGAAAAACATTTTTCTATATGCATATAATGCAAGAAAAGGAGAATTCCCAATCAAATTCTCAGGGCTAGTGGGAAATGCACAAAGCAAAATCATAAGTAGAAAGTTTTAGAGAAACGAGAGATATTGCTCATTGTCTGATTTAAAAGAAAACTATATATTTAAAAAGGGGAAAAGTTTTAGATTATAAAAAGGCTTCATGAAATAAATTTCTATGTTTACAGTTATTGCTTATAAAGAGGGGGTCATGGCTTATGTTTATTTATTTTTTTCCAGAGAATCTTCATCTATCTACAAAAAAAAGTTTCCAGAAATATGATACAGAATATTCTCCTTTGTTGAATAAAAGAAAATCCTCTAAGACTTGCTTTTAATATTCCCCTCTCCCAGTCTTGAAAGTTTCCTGGCAGTCAAAATTGACATTATAATACATATGATTTACTTCAGAGAAGTCATCACTTTTTTTTTAATAATCTGTGCAGCATTCTTTAGTAGATACTTTCAGAGATAAAATTAACTACCTCAAGTTGCCAGATTTCAAAGAGGATGATTTTTCCATTGATTAGCAATCACTCTACGTTTTTTTTTTTCTGTTGTATCATTAGAGACTGTCTTGACAATTTCAAATTGTTAAAATACTCATTATCCCCCTTCATCCTCTTGCTGCGTTAATTACCAAATTGACTATTCATGTCGGTATGGTAACAGTGCCAGAAGAAAAGTCACCGAGCATTGAGCCAACATTGTAACTACCCAGTTAGAAATCAACCCCATGGTTTTAGACAAGTGAATGTAAAACACTAATTCTTACCTTGATCTAATCAAATATAAAACTTTAAGTCACATCCACAAAATTCAACTCTCCATATAACTGTGATCTGACACATTTCCCAGCTAATAATATGAAATATCTTTCAAATTCAACTTTAGGGCATGCCAGTGATGCAGACTATGAAAACACATTTAATGCTTCTAAAGTTACTTTCACTTTAGCATCTCAAATATATTGTACCTAGACAATTGTCACCCCATTGAGAAACTGGTAAGCCAAATACCCATAAGGGTTATGGAGAGTGAGTCCCTGGAAGTGGGAGGTTTTTACTCAGTAGAATATCAATTGGTTTCAATATCTGTGTATGGTCTGGATAAGTGTCCCCAGTGCTAAAGGTGCTACTGCAGTGCAGTGAAACTCTGGAGAGGTGGGGCCCAGATAGCGAAGCCTTCTGGTCATATGGAGCATGTAGTTGAAGGGGGATATTGAGACCGTCCTCTCCTCTCCCTCTTTTTCACTTCTTGGTGACCATAAGGTGACCAGCTTGCTCCACTGTGTGCTCCTGCCCTGATATATTGCCTTACCACAGGCCCCAGAACAACAGGACCCACTGACCACGGACTGAAACCTCCAACACTATAAGCTAAAATAAACCTTCCCTCTTTTGAAGACAATTATATCAGGTGTTTTGTTACAGTAATAGAAAGCTTGACTAACACCATCTGAAAATAGCATTAAGGACTGAAGACAGATGCCTGTGAATTCTAAATCAATTTCAAGTTAGCAATCCTGGGAAGTTTAAAAAGCCAAAATATTCATCATGCAATTGTAGAAAAGAAATTTGTAGTTTTTCCATAAAGTAAAGAGAAGCGATATATTATTTTTAGTGAGAGATTTTCAAACATTAAGGAATCCAGGTTTGCATATGTCAGAATTGCTGGGAAATCTACAACTGGTTAATTACTGTGTATTTTATAAATCCAATAATATTTTGAGTAAACACTCAAACCATATTGCATTTTCTAAATGATAATTGTTAGAAAAATAATATCAAATGGAATTATTGTCTGTGAATTGAAATTGAGACAGGGCCACATACTGATTTTTGTTAATATTTGAAAAATTAGTTTAAGTATTAGGAAATGCTTTATATAATTTACATAGCTTGAGAACCAATATATATTTGATAATAAAGTATTAATTAATATACTTAAATAATATATAACTGCAAGGACTGGGGATGTGGCTTAGTGGTGGAATGTTTGCCTCACATGTGTGAGGCACTGGGTTCGATCCTCACACCACATAAAAATAAATAAATAAAATGGAGATGTTTTGTCCATCTACAACTAAAAAAAATTAAAAAAATAATATATAACTGCACCTTAGTATATATTATTAATGCTATAATAATGAAATTAGTTAATATATAACATAAAATAAAATATAATTAATTAGGGGGTCATTACTACACCTTTAATAGTTACATTCATGTGCTAACTTCCTGAAGTCTTCTTTGTCCAAAATGAAAAGATATTATTGTAGTAAAAAATATATAAGAAATAAAAACTGTTGAAAGTTCAATATGTCAACATACTTGGCTAGAAGATTTTCCCCAGGTGTTTTCAAATTTGATTTTATGATTCTAAAGCCTGTGCAATACTATAGTGTTAAATTCACTGGGGATAAAAGACCATTAATGAAAATGGTCTGGAATCAGAGAAAAAACGGGAGCTGAAGTCATCACCCTCTTGGACAGAAGGTGGCAGCAGTGTAAGGTCTGGCTATCCTTCCATTTTGTAACTATCTCCCCTGTAGGCTTTATTGTTTACAATTCAATTAAAAAATAAACTATGACAATAATAATGCAATTGTGCTAAAATCCAACTAAATATTTTATTCATCCTGAAATTAATTTTTAAAAGAATTTATTTTTTATGATACTTTTGCATTTGAGATTGTGATTTCATATCATTTGACAGATAAGTCTTTTTTTGTTCTAATGCACACTTTTAAAATAATATAGTAAAACACGAATATATGAGTATTATGTTTTAATATCTGAGTACGTGACCTGAGTATTTATCCTTTAAAATATAAAACCACACATTTTTCACTCCAAAAAATATTTTATCATCACTTTATCAAGTATAAAATGCTCTTCTTTAAAAAAAATTGCTTAAACATTATAAAAATTGATAAGGGCAACAGTTTTCCTAACCTGGATCACAGTATTATTTAACAAAGAGTAAAACCTACCCATCAGGAAAGTAATATGCTTTTCTTTTTTAGATACTTCCCATCTATATTAAAATTATTTCTAATATAAATAAGGAAAATAAAATAAGTAATAAAGCCAACAGATAATTTTAAGTATTCATTTTGTGACTACGTCTTTTTTCTCATTATGTTTTACATTATGGAAATCTACCATCTTTTGTATGTCTATTCTATATAAAAATAAACATTGTATTAAATTTCTTACTGTTTTTCACGGATTGACAATTGTCTATTGAAATGTTGTGAAGGTAATTACTTAACATTAATTCCTGATTTATGTGATAAATGCTTTAAATTCACTGTATTTAATCCATACAAAAAGCTTTATAAAAATAGTATATGGTCTGAGACAGATAGACACACACACACACATATGCACTCTGACAAAATAAGAGAAAGAAGAGATCTCCATGAAAACCGCAAAGAACTGTCTGAATATAGTGTGAAACAATTATTCCTCAATTATATCATCCATCTCCAGGCCGTAAGCAATCATTGTTTTGCCTGCTCTGGATCCTCTTTTTTAGCAGCCAACTAGTTGCTTACTGCCAAAAATTTATGTCAGTCTATCCAAAAGCAAGCTCATCAACTTTCTCTATAGCCATTAAGTAACCTATTTTCATTCTATGAATTCTGTTTCATCACTTAAATGGTGTTCAATGCATTTTACTTCCCTTATTTCCCCTGCAGAAAAATATACCCTTGAGAGTAGATACTGATTATTTATAAATCTGTGTAGCTTTTCCAACTCATGTAGATTTGTACTGAACAGTACAATCTACATGAGTTGGGATAAATGAATTCACAGATGGGTACATACCTGTACCTGGGCAGGTGAGGGCTATCATGCTGGCTGCTAAGGATGTGCAACCTCACTCATATGCCATGAAGATGGCCCAGTGAGCTTCCCTCCTACCATGGGTTACCACTGGGGAATATCGCCCAAATGTAGCAGGTAGAGAAGGTGGGCCTTTCGTGGGATTGGCATAGGACCTTCTGAGGAAAACCAGATTCCTCTGTAGGATCAATGTGAGTCTGTCACTGGTTTCAAATGAAGAAAGTAAGGGCAGGTTCTTTGCTTTGTTTTGTTTTGTTTTTGAACCAGAGATTGAACCCAGAAGGGCTTAACCACTGAGCCACATGCCCAGCCTGTTTTACATATTTTTATTTTGAGATAGGGTCTTGCTAAATTGCTTAGGGCCTCACTAAGTTTCTGAGGCTGGCTTTGAACTTGCAATCCTTCTGCCTCAGCCTCCTAACCTGCTGGGATTACAGACATGCGCCACCATGCCCAGTGGTGAGGGCAGTTTTCACCAACACAAGACAGAAACAGTCTACACTAGGCTGCCTACAACATGTGTCCCTTTAATAATAACGATCATCACCTGAATGATTGCCTGATGGGTGTCCCTTTTACCTAAAAGGGATCAGGCCCTCTTAAACATGGTTATAGCTGTTGGTTTCTGTAAAGACAAGTGAATTAGGCTCTACAATAGTTTAGGTTCCTAATAACAGGAATACATTGTGTAGTTTAGCATGTCAGAAGCTTATAAGAGAGGAAAATAAACATACACGATTGTAGTGTCCATTCACCTCCAGTACATTTTATGTTTCAGTGTAAATGCACATCTTCTGTGCACATTATCCAACCCAGATGCTTACATCAAACTCATTCAGAGCTGCAGCCAGCTCGCCGATACCCGTGTGGCCTTTGGCTTCATCAGTGGGCGAGGTAGCTTGAGCAGCATTGGAGATGCCAGCAATGGCCTCCTGGACTTGTTTGAAGACATAATCTCGGTTGGCTCTTGTGGCAGCAACATCTGGGTGGCGGAGAAAGGCTTGGGAGGCTGTGTACAGCATTGTGGCATTCTTCTTCAGAGCTCCACGGGCAGCTGCCATCTCATCTCTACAGTGAGGGTCCTTCAGTTCCTGTGTGGGCAAAACATGAATCTGGCATGAAGTTTGCATGGTAGTATACACGACAGAACTCGGATTCACAGAAAAACCCACTGAATTTAAAAAACAAACAAACAAACAAAAAAACACCTTCTCCTCCTTGTGACATGGCTCTACTTATCTGGTATGTCCTCCAAAAACTGACCTCTCCTACCAACTCACTAAGCTATGTCCACTTCCATTGGCTTCCACAAAGTCTGATATCTTTCTCATCATTAACACTCATCACATTTTAACATACTGACTTATTTAAGCCAGTTTCTTCCTATACTGAATCTCCAATGACAGCCCTGTGTCTATCTTGTTCACTGGCTCTGTAGTCATTTGCACAGTATCTGGCCCCATAAGAGGCATTCAATAAATCTTGCTGAAAGACTGCAAAAACTGGGCCACCGATGGGGTAAGCAGATTGAATGGACCACAGTTATCAGCAGATGGAAAAGCTGAACTTCAGTCTTCTCAGATTCTGGCTGCTTTATATTCAATTATAATTGTAAACATGGAAACCAGTCTTCTGATTTTTGGTTAGTGGTTTAATGTCACTTCATTATCATTTTCAGAACAGAACAAGGCTCTATTTTTTTTTTTTAACCGCCTCTATCAGCAGCTCAATTACTGAGTTTAGACAATAGAAAATAATAAGCCAGAGTAAATTTGTTTTCTTCATTTGGAGTGTTAAAATAATAACACTGGAGAGTCACTTTACTTTCATCTTTATAGAGTACTGTCAAGAAAGTGCATCATTTTGGGAAATGTTAAGGTGAGAGCCGCGTAGGACTGCCAGTTGAGTATCCCTGGGAAAATGTTTTTCCAACTTTAAAACATAAGTAAAGGGTATCTGACTCCCTAGGGTTCTCTTCCTATTTGCTCATCTGATAGATGGCCTTATAGGAATTACATGTTCTCTTTTATGGACCAAAATAACCCTTAAGCAAGTACATTTTTATTTCATATTTAGAATTATCAGGACAAATTGACAATAAATAAATGAAAAAAAAAACAGAATACAATATGCATATCTGTATGCACAGTATTATTATAAATATGTGAAAATGAAGACAGAAGGTTAGAGTAGGTGGGGGAGACTGGCAAAATGATTCTCCTCCATGGAAACTTATAGACAGGGGCCGGAGAATCTAGGGGGCAGGGCAAGGTGATATCACACCTGCCCCAGCCAGAAGCAGTCTTTGTGATTCCAGGTACTTAGAGCCTTTGATTTCAAAGAGTTGTAACTGATCCATTTTCAGGCCTATAAAACTACAAGGTTATGAGAACTCACCCATTTTCTCCCCTAGCATTTCCAAAATCTTTCCCACCTGTTGTCTTCTTGCTGCTACATAGTTTAGTTTCACCATTTCTTTCCCAAACTCTTTAAAGCGGTTTGCAAGGTCTTGTTCGTTTGTAGCATTTTTGACAGCTTCCAGAGCGTCCTCCACCTAAAGTGATAAAAGACAAAGTATTTTATGAGTGCATAGTATTCAAACAATATTAAACACATTATAAATGGTAATTTGATAAAAAAAGAATAGGTATTAACTTCTAAATAAAATAATAGGAGAAAGTACCTCTAACAATCACTTATACTGATTAGAAACTTGAGATTTATGGAATGTTTGATATGTAAAGGACAATAATTCCTGAAACTTTAAAGCATACAAAATCCTATATTTATTGTATTTTATTAAATAATAATTTTAATAAGAAATATAGACTTCTGATCTTAAGTAGCATAAAAAGGAAAATGTATTTAAGAAAAAATGTGGATGTTGAAACAAATTTTGAAATGATCAGAATAGGAAATGGTTCCACAAAGCTGTAATAAATCCCAGGGCTGCTGAAAATTAGGGACAGATGAAATCTGCAACCAATCCTGGCAACACTTATAAATCCCAGACAAAAGGGACTGTAATTTTAAACTGAGTCTACACCCTGCTATGGGATAGAAAGGGGAAATACCACACCATGGAAACAAGTAAATTTGAAGTTCAGTTGCCACCTGAAGGAGCCAACAACTGGAGTGGACAGGGAATGGACAGAATGACAGCAAGCACACAGCACTAATGAGGTGCTGTGCTTCCAAATTCCTCCAAACTGTGTCACTGAACATTCACGAGTGGTAATGGACCTGAATTATGAATTCCACCAAAATCCTTCTGTAAATGATTTGAGTATTTGAGAGGTACTCAAGTGTTGTGCCCTCCAAAATGATCTTAATTTTGATATGGTATGATATTTTCCATAATTCATAACCCCCTGGTTGTTTAATACCAATGAACTCAATTAGAATGAAAATCAAGACACTGTGATAAATTAATCTACTAAGGTTATTGTCAGTCAGGTAGCATTGTGGTAGAAATAATTTTATCAGGGGAAACAGCTGAGAACACAGTCCTGAATGAACAAAGCACAAGACAGATGCTTTTTTGCAAAATACAATGGTCTTCAACATGAAGGGGGACCAGTAGAGGGGCACCAACTCATGCAGGCTCCTGAGACAGTTAGGGAAAAGGAGAGACAGTGGCTTGGAAAGGTTAATGAGAATGCAGGGAGTATCCGGGCAGAATTCACATGGGCTCCTATAGTTTCGGGCAAATCAAAAAACGGCCTAAACAAAATCATCCTTTGATAATTTTGAAATACAGATGAGTACTAAAATGGCTGAGAAAAGTCATAGATAAACTTAAGCCTTCACTTTGGAGTTGCTGCTTTGTTTAGGCTGGACACAATCACAAAAGTGGCTTATCCACCTTCCTTATCAGGTGTCCTTATGTGAAGGAAGAGTGTCTATAAATGAGTGATAATGAATATGAGCAAGTCTTTTTATCCCATAGATGTGATAATACCATTCAATTTGCCAAATAGGTACCATATGTTACCAAGAAAAGAGTTGCAAGAACAAAAGAAAGTTCTTCAGAATAATGGTGGTGGTGAATGAGTCTAAACTATACCTAATATTAAACTTACATTCTCATTTTACATTATTTTAAAAATTCTACCTTATTTTCTTACTAATAATAAAAATATGAAATGATGGTGTAACTCCTCTAAGTTTTAGTCATTTCCAAGTCCTAATAATGCTCAAGGAATATAAGGAAGTACAGCTCAGAAAAGGACTATTGTGTGTTAGAGTTATTTTTTTTAGTTATGCATATCAAATTATATTTTATGGTACAAAATGGCCTATATGGCCCATTTAAAACATTTTCATAACTTAATAAGAATCTCATTCTTCAAATCTTGAGAACAACATATCAATGTTAACCTACTTCCTAATAGATTTATAATCATCTTAACTTGGCCATCAACAGCATCACTGAGAGCAGTTTCTTGGCAGTTAACTTGTTCCTGCTGCTTATTTGAGATGTAAATCTTTTCTCAGGACATAAAAATGGTTCCAGAGAAGAGCAAAATAATTATCTCAGAGGGAGCTAAATCCTGGATTTGTGCGTGTGCACAAATATATATGCTTTTTACCGTTTGCTAATCAGACCAATTTTGAATATTTATGTTGCTGTGTTACATACAATTTATTTTCTCATTGGCTTTTTCTGAAGAACAGATTCCATTGTGCATTTATAATAATTATAAAATTTATAGTTCAGTGAAATGCTTTTGGAAAAAAAAAACATCAATGGGATCTATCTGTGGAAAAGTATTCATAGTCTTACTCAAGAGTTTGGATCTAGAAGTATTTGAGAGCTCACCTAGTCAAAAGTTCTTATAGAGAATCATCGTCAGAATATGTACAAGGTTTTATAGAAATGCAAGAAATGAGACCAAAGTCTGGATTGTGGATACCCTAACCACTAATAGATAGATGAGCAATAAAGATGGATGGTGGAGGGAGGGAGAGAGGGGGAAAAAGAACTTTTAACAACTCAAAATTAATATAGAAATCAACTTTTAATTTCTGAATGCAGGCAATGATCTTTGGTTCTTTCTGGATGGCTGTTACTCTCAAATATTTACTGTATGTTCATGAGTTCAGGGTGCCAGTTGATCAAAGAGTAGTTCTCTTACAGAAGAAAATACACAGACACTTTATCCAAAACATACATGTCTATGTCCCAGCATGAAGACTACAAGTCTATTTCTGTGAAGAGGGTTGTGGGGTCACATCAGTTTGGATTTAGACTCAGATCCTGAAGGGAGCTAATGATGGTTTGGATACAAGGTGATAAGCTCAGTAAGCTCACATGAACGATAATGCAGGAATATTCACAGGTGATTAGATTTTAAGAGCTGTAACATAATCAGTGGATTAATTCATTTGATGTATCAATAATTCGAATGGAATACGGGTTGGTAAATGCAGGTAGGTAAGGTGTGGTTAAAGTAAGTAGATCACCAGGGGGTGTGCCCTTGAGATTACATCTTGTCCCCCTGGCTTCTTGAGCATATGCATTCCCATTCATATTCTCATTCATTCATATTCTCTCTCTCTCTCTCTCTCTCTCTCTCTCTCTCTCTCTCTCTCTCTCTCTCTCTCTCTGCTTCCCAGCTGCCCTAAGCTGTGCAGCTTTCCTCTGCATGCCCTTCCACCATGATATTCATGATGTTCTGCCTCACCTCAGGCCCAGAACAATGAAGTCAGCAGACCTCGGACTGAGACCTCTAAAACCACAAACCCTAAATAAACTTTTCCTCCTCTAAGTTGTTCTTGTCATGTATTTTGGTCATGGGAACTAACACAAGGCTTTCTTGTATCCTGGAATATTTTCAGATGGCAGGGGACTCAGAAGAAGTGAAAGGAAAGCTACAGGCATGCAGGCAGGACACAGGTGGCAGGCTGTCACACTAGCTCCAGGAAGCATGACAGTGTCAGTGGCAAAGTCCTTTGAAAAGGAGGCACTTAGTTTTGGGTTGGGGAACAGTTTCCAGCAAGCAGACGTTAAGTTACACCTGAGAAACAGCTGTGTTATACCACCCCATTCAAAGTAGCCTGAAGATCTTGGGCATTACAGAAACCATTCTTGTCCCACAAGGTGGTCTAGATGATGAACACTGAAGTGAGAACTCTGTCGAACCAGGTGTTCCTGTCCTTCATATTTGCAGCCAGTGCATAAACAAAGCTGAAAAGACTTTTAAGTTCTAGAAAAGACATTAAGGTTGGTTGTTTAATTATTGTGTTTATATATTATTTTCAGAGCTCATCACTTCAAATTCCTAAATGTCTTCTCAGTGGTTTGTTAAAAAAAAGAACCCCCATCTCCAATTTGAAACAAGCCTGCCCCGCTGCCACTATTATTTGATCTAAAGCTGTGTCAGATTTCCTGAGATGGAATCTTGGAAATCAGTCTTTAATTTTCCTCATTGAAACTACGTTTATTTATTTAACATAAAATAAAGTAGTCTGATAATTCATTTTTCATTAATTACATGAAGCACCTCCCAAAAGGCAGGCAGACATATGGGCATGGGGACAGTGTTGAGCTGAGAAGTCAGATCCCGCCCCTCCTGCACTGTGTGAGTCTCTGTTCCCCAGTGGACAGTCAGTGCCCACACCCAAGCTTCAAATCATGGCTGCTATGATCAGCATTTCTATTGACACAAACTGACCACATTCCGGATTCCTCCTGTTGATATGTAAAGGACTGAATTTTAAGTGACAATGGTGAAACTATTTAATAAGTCACAAATAATTTTCTTGTTAGGGTCTGGTTAAACAAATAAATTTTAAAAATATCTATCTTGGATATAGAAATTGGCCAAGTGAAGCATGAACTTAAGACCTTACAGGTAAATGTGGGGCTTATTTAGTCCTATGCTGTAATTTAATCACTAATACTTCAGCATTATCACACTTTATCTTTTTGTCTCCTAAAGATAAGTTAGTCTTCTTGATTAAATTTTCTCTTTCCTTGTTAACAAATGAAGAGTAAAACAATTTCATCAGAAAACAAGACTGATTAAACGCTAGTTTCATTATTCTTGAAGCACATAACCATAATATAGTTTGTGATATATTTCCAAGTTATTTTCAGTTTGTACAAGAAAAATGACAACAGCCAGAGTCATCAAGTGCTTAGGCTGTACCAGACATTGTTCTAAGTGGTTTACATAAATCTAATTCAGTCTCTCAAAGCAGCTCTTTGATGCTTCCCTCAGTCCCACTTCACAGTGCAAATACCAAGATGGGACAGTGACTAATTCAAACTGCCAGAGACCTCACAGCCAACAAGTGCAGGCACCTGCCTTGAAGTTCAGGTAGTTTGCTCTAGAGCTCCTACTTTTACCTCCTGGCCTGTGCTGCATCAATTTCCCAGAGAGGCTGGGTTTAGAAAGCTGATGAACTTTAGGAACGGATTATACAGATTTGCTAATGATGAAGACTCACTAAGAACTCTGCCCTATCCAATCAGCCTCCACATTTTCCTCACTACTTCTTACCATCTCTAAAACTGGCCTCTTTTGTCACGACATATATCACCATTCC